GGCCGCTCACGGTGGCTGCTGGCCGCTCACGCTGGCTGCTGGCTACATATGGTAGCCCATGGCAACCCACTGCAGCAGGGGCTGCAGCCTACGCCGTCGCCGGTGACCCACAGCAGCCCAGCCCCAGGTGGAGCTGCCGTTCACCATCTTAGCTGTAGAGGGCAGTGTCACTGGCCCTCACATGTGGGATCCGAACCGGGGTCCTCTGGGGTCCCAAACCAGCTCTTAACCATCGCGCCACTCGGCCGGCCCGCTTCCCAGGTGTTTTTAACCAGGGCGACAGCCAGCGCTATGGGGCATCAGCTCAGGCAAAGCGGGAACTTCATGGGCTCCTCTGGTAGCCCCGGACCCAGTGCCCAGCTGGGTGGGTTCAGGAGGCTCTGAACGCTGCTCCAGGGTGGTGACGGGGTCACCTCACTGTAGTCCAGCAGCCACCACAATCTTGGCTTCCGAGTGGCTCTGCCAGGGCTCCCATGCCCATTTGCAGGTCCCAAAACTGAAGCTGGAGGGTGTGTGGGAGGGGGGGCTCCAGCGGCAAAGTCCTGTGGTGGGAGCCCTCTTTGGGGCTGCTGTGGGGGCGCTTCTCTTACCTGCAAACACACCAGATGAGGCCTGGAGGTGGGGCTAGGGATGACAGTAGTAACATTGAGCTTATTATGGGCCTGGCACTTTTCTAAGGCTTTGCATTAACTCAATCATCCGGCAATAGCCCTAGGATGTAGTGTCCAGCACCCCCATTTTACAGGTGAGGAAACGGAGGCACAGAAAAGCAGAGTTGATTCCCAAGGTCACAAAGCCATAAAGTGGGTGAGCGGGGATTTGAACTGGTATCTCACATCCCTGAGGCCGGGTCCTGGTCGCATGAGGTCTCCCTCTCCCTCTCTCCCTCTCTCCCACTCTCCCCCTCTCCCCCCCACCCCCTCGACAGGCCCCAAGCTGTGCTGGGGCCGCTCCTCCCAGGGTAGGCGGTACGGGGCGGGGCCAGGTCCCCGCCGCAGGGAGGAAGTGCCCGGCCCCGCTGCTGGTGCGCCCGTGCCCACCACCACAAGTCCTCCAGCGGGGTCGGGCCATGGAGGCGGAGCCGCCACTCTACCCGGTGGCTGGGGCCGCGGGGCCGCAGGGAGATGAGGACCGGCTTGGGGACCCCGACGGGCCCGAGGCCCCGGTGAGCGAGGACGGGGACCGTGAGGGGATACGGGAACCCACAGGGCCGTCCCTCGGGGCCGGGGTGCGGGTGGCCCGGGAGGCGGGCACCGGGAGTGCGGGAGCTGGGGTGCGAAGCCCTGGGCACCCTGCCGGATGCGAGTGCAGTGCGTACCCCGTAGCTGGACGAGCTGGTGGGCGCGTACCCCAACTACAACGAGGAGGAGGAGGAGCGCCGCTACTACCGCCGCAAGCGCCTCGGCGTGCTCAAGAACGTGCTGGCGGCCAGCGCGGGCGGCGCGCTCACCTACGGTGTCTACCTGGGTACCTGCCCGCTGCGGGGCCAGCGTGGGGCCAGGCGAGGGGGGACCGCCAGCCCTGTGGGCTCTGGCGCTTGATCCCAAGGCTTCCCCGTTCCCACCCGCCCTGCCGCCCTAACTTCCCTAGACCCAGCCTGGGAAAGAGAAACCGTAGGGGCCCTTCGGCCTCGCTTCCTCTTTCACTTCCCAGGGTGCTGCACTCGCAGCTGCAGCTGCAGCCCCGCCATGTGAGGGTGGGGCGATACTGTGCAGTGTCCCCAGGTCCCAACCAGGCCTATCGTGCTGGTGTGGGCAGGGGGCTGGGCGCCCTGGGCGGGTCTGCAGCCTTGGAAATCAGGAGAGCTGGGGTCCAAGAGACCTGCGGAGCTAGGCAGGTGGGGGTGGAAGTCTGGATTCAAGTCATTGACACTGCTGTGGCTGGCAAGCCTGGCTTCCCCTGTCCTCATGGGCGTTGGATTCGGAGATCCCTTTGGTAAATGCGTCCCAGCCTCTGCTTGGTTGCCTCCCGAGCCAGGCCGTCCCCTCCAAGCCAGCTCCCTGTCCCCAGGCCTCCTGCAGATGCAGCTGATCCTGCACTATGATGAGACCTACCGCGAGGTGAAGTATGGCAACATGGGGCTACCCGACATCGACAATAAGATGCTCATAGGCATCAACGTGATGCCCATCGCAGCGCTCCTCTACACACCTGTGCTCATCAGGTGTGACACCGAGGTCCCCATGAGGGCTGGGCTGTCACCCCGATCTTGAAGGGGTGCAGGGGCTGTTGGACCATAGGGTCTCCAGCTATCCTGGTGGTCTTGGGAGGCAGGGAGCTGGGAGAGGCCTTGCCTACCTGGAGGGGTAAGAAAGAAGGGGTGAAGCTGGGTTTGGGAAAGGAAACAAGCTTTGCCCAGGGCACACGGAGTTTCAAGCAACAGAAATTCACTCAGGCTCCTTCCCTCAGCTTATCTTCGTGCCCTCCTCTGTGGCTGGGAGCCACAGCGACCTTTTTGGGGTCAGGGCTGTAGAATCTCTGGAGAGAATCTGATCAGCCAGCAAGGCCCAGGCACCCACCCCTGCCCAATCAGCTGTGGCTTGTGTCAAGGGACATTTCTCATTGAAAGGGCATGGCTGGGCAGGTGCCCCAGAGGACCTGCTCTAGAGCGAGCCTGGAGGCATCTGGTCCAGCCTCCTGGCCAGTGCCCAAACCACCTCCACAAGACCCTCCCCACCAGGAGGCAGATCTGTGCTCAGATGGGACCCAGAGACCAGTTGACAAATTAGATGTGTTTCAGTTCCCCTTTAAAAAATTCCTTTATCACAATTGCACAAACAGCATTAGAATCATAATTGAAATCAGAAAAAAAGAAAGTCCCACGGAAACCTTCCAGTAAATCGGCTAACTTTGTTCTCCCACTGGCATACGTTTAAGTCCTTGTCGCCAGAACACGTGTGTGCCACGTTCACTTTTGCTTTCTGTCCTTTCACTGCACACATCTTGGCCTGCTCCAGTCTTCACAGTGGGGATCTGTGTTGGTGGCAACTTCTGTAGAGATCTGGGCATCCAGCTGTGGCTCAGAGTTGCACATCGCAGCTCCTTCTCCTTTTTTGCGTGTTCACCTGTGCTTTGTAGCTGTTTCCTTTAAAAAAAAAAAAATCCAGGATACATTCCCAGCAGTACCCTTACTTGGTCAGAAGCATGTAAAAGGCTTTATGGCTCTTGAAACCCCTCACTATTAATACCAACAGCTAACTTATTGCTTACGTGGTGGGTCCTTTATATGTGTTATCTCATTCCTTACAATCTGAGGGAGGTGTTGGAATCTTACACACAGAGAAAACAAGAAATGGAACAGCTTGCCCAACTCCCACAGGCAGCACCTGGCAGATTGAAAGTTTAAATAAAGCCAGAAAACCCTCACATTCTCATGCTTGCCTCTCGCCCAATCAGGCTGATTTTCCCAAGGGTTATGCCCATCTGCATGACCGCTAGCTGTGTGTGTCATTTTTCAAACCACAGCCTCACAAGCAATGACGAGTGTTTTTTCCTTTTTACTCCACCAAAATGTACAGTGCATTTTGTGTGACCTGCCCTCCCCCCAATAGATCAGAGGGGGCTGCCTCTCTATTTTTTATGTGGCAAAATAAAGATAGTTAAAGAACCCATGGCCCTGTGATAGAAGACAAAGTCATTGTATCGGATAACCAGGGTCACTTTACTTTAAACTTCCTGGAACCCAAAGGGAATTAATGAGCACAAATATTTAAAATAAACAAACAAAAACAAAAGATCTCAGTGGTGGTTTTTAGCCTGACCAGCCTCCATGCCCTGAATGGGCCTTTTTCTTGTTACTAGTCAACCCCATTTGAACGTGATGTGGCTTTTTCCCAGAGCCAGCAAGGCTGTTTTCTTAGGATACAGAGAGGAGGTACCCTCCTGACTGACTACAAGGACTGCAAGAGCGGTGGGCAGGGAAGAAGGGATGCCAGGGTGCCAGCCCTGCCACTGGGCAGCAGCAGAGCCTCTTTCTCTCTGCTCCTAAGTTTCCTTGAGCCAGCTTGGGTCGAGTCCCTTGGACGTGTGCCTGGGCCCTGCAGTCCCAGCACAGGAGCTTGGGTGGAGAAGGGGGTTGGTGCGTCAGCCCAGAGCACAAATGAGGGCCGGATGTGCCCATAAGGCACTGACTCGTGACACCCTCACCCCACGTTATCAGCCTCCATCTTTGCATCTGGCCAGGAGAGCCTTGTGCTTTGGGCTCTGTGTCCATATTACAGCAGTGAAAACTGGTGTGTGGATATACACCGGCTCGCCTGAGGCCACTCAGAAAGTCGGTATCTCTGAGACTCCATCTTAGAGCCCTTGACTCCAAGGCCAGGGATCTCTCCCCACCTCACACAGCCTCGTGAGCAGGGAGTTGTGGCCACTTGGGTATTGGGCCATGGTAGTCCAGGTAGACCCATGGTACCAGCGTCCCTCCCACTTCCCACAGGTTTTTTGGCACCAAGTGGATGATGTTCCTAGGCGTGGGCATCTATGCCCTCTTTGTCTCCACCAACTACTGGGAACGCTACTACACGCTTGTGCCCTCAGCCGTGGCCCTGGGCATGGCCATCGTGCCTCTGTGGGCCTCCATGGGCAACTACATCACCAGGTGAGCCTGGTGGGCAGCAGGGTGGGAGGCTGGAGACTGGGCCGAGACACTGCTGCGTTGCCAGCCTTGGCTAGGGCGTCTTGGATCGGCCCCTTCTGGCCTCTGGGCTTCAGTTTCCCCATCCATGAGACGCAGGGGCTGGTCAGCCCATAGCTCTGGGTGCAGGAAGCAGAGGTATCTGGTAGAGGTTGGGCTGGGGAGAACCTTCTCTCCTTTGTGGTCCAGGATGGCCCAGAAGTATTACGAGTACTCCCACTACAAGGAAAGGGATGAGCACGGCCCCCAGCAGCGCCCGCCCCGGGGCTCCCACGCGCCCTATCTCCTGGTCTTCCAAGCCATCTTCTATAGCTTCTTTCATGTAAGTGCCACATATGGGGCCCTGGGGGGTGGGGTGGAGGCGTATTTCAGCCTGAGAACCCACACACTGGAGCCCATCCCATAACCTGTTCAGTCCTCTAATCCTACTGCCCTTTCTTGGGCCAACCCCTGCTTGCTTACCCCTAGTGACTAAAACCTCGTCCCCTCCCTTTCCACAGTGCTGACCAGGAGGAAGTCCTCCTGCATTGGGCACTCCTTCCTACCACCAAGCTGCCCCCAGAGGTGGGAGGGCTCCTGTCCCCCTAAGGCTGTGTGCTCAGACTCCTCCCAGATCACGCATGTGCCCCCTGCCTGGTTCCATGCCCCAAGCCTGGCCCAAACTGCCCTCCTGCCCACAGCTGAGCTTCGCCTGCGCCCAGCTGCCCATGATCTACTTCCTGAACCACTACCTGTATGACCTGAACCACACGCTGTACAACGTGCGGAGCTGCGGTTAGTCCTCATTAGGGTGGGGTCCCGGAGTCCTGCCCACCTCCCTCATTGAGTTACCTAGCAGACACTGAGCACTCGAGGGCAGAGAGTATGCTCTCTCACAGAATTCAGGGCTCAGAGTCCAGTGTCCCATAGCTCTGGCAGGTGAGGCACTGAGCCCTGTAGGGATATGTAGTTAGAATCTGCCTGCGGGGGTGGGGAAGGGATTGCATCAGGGAAGGCTGCCAGGAGGAGGTGCCATCTGGGATGAAGCTGCCCGCAGGATCTCATTCCTGCAGCGCATACCCTCAGAGCTCAATCAGTGCAGGGTGAATGTTTGGAGGTGGGCTATGGACTGGTGCTCCCTCCCCCTCAGCCTGGGGCAATAGGGCAGAAAGGGAGGTGGGGGAAGGATTCAGTCCTGGTGGCCCTCACCTTCAAACTGCTCCCCAAAGGAACCCTGCCTTTGCATGCATTGCCCTCGCTCGCCCCTTTGACCCTCCGCACCCACCCACATGCCTCGCTGCACTTGTTGACAGTGTGCCCTACGCCCTCGCTCACGATGCCCCCCCTCGGCCCCTTCTCAGGCACTAACAGCCAGGGCATCCTCAGCGGCTTCAACAAGACCGTTCTACATACGCTACCACGGAGCCGAAACCTCATTGTGGTGGAGAGCGTGCTCATGGCGGTGGCCTTCCTGGCCATGCTGCTGGTGCGGCCTGGGATGGCGGTGGGGCGGAGTCAATGAAGTCTGGGGACAGAGGCGGGGAGAAAGGGGTGCAGCCTAGGCGTGTGGCTGGTGGCCTGGGCAGGGTTCTGACCTGGAGACGTGGTCTGAGTCGGGAACCAGGGCTAAGTCCTGGGGAGGCCTCGCTGATGCCTGTGGACTGAGACTGGATTTGGAGGGCAATCAGGTTGGGTCTGGGGTTGAGCTGGAGACAGGGTCAGAGCGGATAGGCTGTGACCTGCGAGAGTCAGACGGTGCGGCTCAAACTCGGGGGCGATACTGGAGGCAGAACTAAGGCGTTGGGGGCACGGCTAGGGCGTGGTTTTGGCCTAGAGGTGGACCTGGGAGGCAAGGCTGCGGCGGCGGCGTGTGGGTGTGCCTAGGGGCGGGGTCTGGGCTGAGGGGCGGGGCTGAGGCCCGGGGACAGGACCGAGGGGGCCTAGCTGCCCGCCCCCTTACTGCTCGGGTTCCTAGGTTCTTGGCCTGTGCGGTGCCGCGTACCGGCCCACGGAAGAGATTGACCTGCGCAGCGTGGGCTGGGGCAACATTTTCCAGCTCCCTTTCAAGCACGTGCGCGACTTCCGCTTGCGCCACCTCGTGCCCTTCTTTATCTACAGCGGCTTCGAGGTGTTGTTTGCCTGCACTGGTATCGCCCTGGTAAGTACAGCCTGCTAGGGTTAGCGGAAAAAATACAGGAAGTCGGGTTCAATTTGAATTTCAGATAAACAGCAAATAAGTTTTGAATTATATGTATAGGTATGTACAAGTATGTCCCAAATAGGTCCATCCCTTTTCCTTCTGTTTCCTTATTCCTCCTCTACCTGAACAAATTATTTTAACCTCTCTGAGCCTCAGTTTCCTCATCTGTGAAGTGAGTCTAGTAACAACCCTCACTCCTGGAGGCATTATACAGTTGAGATGGTATAACGCCCATAAAGCATTTGATTCCATGCAGGGTGCAGCCCCGGTGTCTGGGGACGTTTCCAACCATTTTCTCCTTCTCTGCCTCCCCGGAACCTTCCCATGAGGCTCGGAGGGAGTTATCCTCAAGGTGGCCCAGAGAGGGCAGGGTGTGGCCTAAAGTGAGACCTCATCGGAGGAGAGCCAGAGCCTGGGCCAGCTGACCTTACACTGTCACCTCTGTTCCCCCAGTGCTATGGCGTGTGCTCAGTGGGGCTGGAACGCCTGCCCTACCTCCTCGTGGCTTACAGCCTGGGTGCCTCGGCTTCCTCAGTCCTGGGCCTGCTGGGGCTGTGGCTGCCGCGCCAGGTGCCCCTGGTGTCAGGGGCCGGACTGCACCTGCTGCTCACTATAAGCCTCTTTTTCTGGGCCCCCAAACCTCGGGTCCTGCAACACATGTGGATCCTCTATGTAGCAGCCATCCTCTGGGGTGTGGGCAGTGCCCTCAACAAGACCGGGCTCAGCAGTGAGTATAGCCATGGGCACTGGGATGGCTGGGCAGGGGACTCTGTGGCTACCTGGGGGGCGGGGGGGGCGGGGTTTGGGGGCAGCACAGACATCTCCAGCAGGTGAGGGTATGATTTGCCAGGTGCTGTGTGGCCTTTCTCACATTTAAACCTCACAACATAACATGTATGTGCCATCTCATTTTACAGATGGGGAAAGTGGCCCTGGGGAGTTAACTTACCCCAAGTCACCCACAGAGCCAATATTTGAATCCACATCTCTGTACCACCTCTCCACCTTAGATTCCTGAGAGTGGAATCTGGGTCCCCCTACTTCCTGTCCAGTGCTCCTTTTTGGGGGGAAATAAGTTCAAACCTCCCAACTTCAGGTTTGATTTGTAGAAAGCTTGTTGCTGTAAGCAGGTTGCCTTCCCTGAGCCCTGAGTGAGGCAGAGAAACAGCCCTTGTAGGCCTGGCTTTGAGCTCCTGGGGTCTGGGAGAGGACAGGATGTGACTGCACATAAAACTTTCCACTTTTGAGGCCACATGTGTCCCAGAACTAAGCCCTCCTGCATCGGGTCTCATCTCACCTGCTCCTTCCTCTGCTCCGTTCAGGGGGGCAGCGTGATAACCACGGTCTCCACTAGGGGGCAGGCCAGGACCTGTCCAACAGCTTTGCAGGTGCTCCCACCTAACACCTAGTCTAGGAGGGTCTCAGGTGGGAGATCAAGCACCCTGAACCCTGGTTGACACCTTTCCCCTTCCTGCCCTGTCCTGCCCGCCCACAGCACTGCTGGGAATCCTGTATGAGGACAAAGAGCGACAGGACTTCATCTTTACCATCTACCACTGGTGGCAAGCCGTGGCCATCTTTGTGGTATACCTGGGCTCAAGCCTGCCTATGAAGGTGAGGCTGAGAGCTGGGTAGGAGGAGAGCCCCTGGGGCGTTAGGCATCCCACACACCCCCCCACCGAGGCACCATATACCTTCTGAGTACCTCCCCTGGCCTCACAGCCCCTGATGGGCGCTACTCCACAAGGACTGGGCCCTGGGCCAAGTCCACTGGGTGGTCCCATTTCCAGCTTTCTATTACTGCCTCATCTCCCGAGGGCCTGTTGACTGGTGTCTGAAGGGGTTCACAGTTTCTTTGCCTCTGGGCTCCTCCCAGCCACCTTGTGGGTAGCTGGATAACTGGTTCACCAGATGTGGGGCTCCTTGAGGGGTGCTGAGGCTCTGTCTCCCTTCATGGCCTGCCTTCGGGGGCCCTGGTGCTGTGCTCCCACCCAACTGATGGATCAGGTTAGCAGGTCCTGACTAACATTTTAAAAAACAATAGAAAACGGCAGGGAGTATGCATGCAAATATGTGTGTAGGTGCTGAGTTATGTCATAGAATTCTTTCTGACTGGGTTAGTCATAAATGTGTGAGAAACATTACTTATGGTCTCTCCACGTGTAAGGGCCAGAATAATCTAAGCCCCGGTAAGGGGTGGGGGGGCCGGGCCTGTGTCCCGCACGAATCAACATCTTCACATCTGCCTATAAGGGGGCATAGCTGGGATTTGAGCCTTGCCGGCAGGAAGAAACAAATGGCGTGGGCCGCTCTGGGAGGAGAGTACCATGCAGAGGAGTGCGGGGTGGGAGTGGGCCCATCTGGGTGAGGGCCTGCGGCCAGCAAGTCCCCAGCCTCCCTCCCTGTGCGCCCAGGCCAAGCTGGCTGTGCTGCTGCTGACACTGTTGGTGGCCGCCATCTCCTACCTGTCGATGGAGCAGAAGCTGCAGCGCGGCGTCGTCCCGCGCCAGCCCCGCATCCCGCGGCCCCAGCACAAGGTGCGTGGCTACCGCTACCTGGAGGAGGACAACTCCGACGAGAGCGACGCGGAAGGCGAGCACGGCGCGGGCGGCGGCTGCGGCCGAGGGGACGAGGAGGAGGACGCGGCGCTGCCCTCCGGGCCCCGACCCGGCCCCGAACCAGCCGGCCTCTGCCGCCGGCCCTGCCCTTACGAACAGGCGCAGGGAGGCGACGGGCCCGAGGAGTAGTGAGGGGCCCAGCCTACTAGCTGGCCTCAGTTGACTGTGTTTCAGGTCAGGGGCGGGGTGGGGGCGTTCCCCCTGATTCCTGTGCCATCTTCGGGAAGGACCCTCTGCCCTCTTTCCCCATGTTTGGGAATGCCCCTCCCGGAGCCCGGGACCACCTGGAGCTTGGAATCTGCTCCTTAGCCTCCTCCTAGGTGCGGTGGGACTTTGGGACCCCTCGGCCAGGCCTAGTGTTTGGGAGAGCACAGCTGGACCCTCCCCTAGAGAAGCCGCTCTCCACGAACTCCGCAGGGCCGCTGCCCCCCAGCACGTGCACTAGCCCCGGAGCAGGCACCGGGTCCTCTTGCCGCCCCCTCCCCCGTGTCCAGCCCCAGCTGTCAGCTTCAGGCCTGAGCCGAGCGTGGTTCTTGCTCTGCACGACTCATCCCCATGGCCCACCAAGACGCATGACTTTTTATAGAATGTGAGCAATAAAGAGATTTTGTATTGTCCTGACTGGGAAGTCTCAGGTCGTGGGAGTACGGAGAGCGCCCCGGATGTGTGTATGGCTGACCCAGCCTCGGGGGGCGCTGTTGCCAGGCCTTGACTTCCCGGTGTCAGGGAGGGTCCCATAAGCCCCGCCCACCAGGTCGTCCTGCCTCCGGAGAGCCCCGCCCCTTCGGAGCGCGCCAGCTTTGGCCGGTCCCACCCCAAAAGGAGTTCCTGGGGTGGCCTGTAGGGACAGTAGTGGAGAATGACGAGCTACCAGTCCCTTCTGGGTCTAGAAGATTGAACAGATTCCAGAGGCTTAGGTCCATCTGCCCCCTTCCTGTCGTTTTCATAAGCATACCCAGCCTCCCTGGCCACCCCCATCCTTTTTCTATCCATTGGGACATTTCTGCCCACAGCTCCCCAGAGGACTTCTTGGGGAGTCTGTCAGGGTCACCCTGTGCCTGGTACAGGCCAGGGGAATGGTCTGAGTGCAGGTAAACTTGGCCACTGCTTTCTGGCGTCAGCCTCAATGCCCATGAGAGACACAGACCCCTCTACAGCTTGAGGGTGCCCCTTTCTCCACCCCGCCTTATATGGGAGAGGGGACTGAGACCCCACTGTGAAGGCTTTGAACACCTGGGTTAGGACAGGCAAGGGGGCCACAGGAGTGTCATGGAGACCCGTACTGCACCCAAACAGTTCTGGGGCCACAACATTCCTCACTCTCCACACCCCCTCCACTCCTGGCTGAAGGCCAGAACCTTGTCCCCACCCACTCCAGCAGCAGGACTAGATTCTCCTACCGATAACCGATAAACCGGGACCCCCTTCTCCGCCCCTCGCTGCCCTCACTTGAGTTTGGATTAGTAGCCTCTCAGGGGACGCTAGAGCCGTCTGAGCCTCAGGATCCTTCTCTGTAAAGTGTATCTTTGGAAGAGAAGGCAGGAGTGAAACCCCCCAGCAGGAAACCTCAAAAGGCGCAGGGCATATTTTACATTTTCTAAATTTCTGAACAAATTAAAAAGTCCAGGTGGTTCACAGTTTCAACATTAGATCATTCCACATTTTTTTTTCACATCGTAACTGAGAAGCTGGATTTCCTGTAGTTTTGAGGCTAAAAAGTGAACGTGGAACATGCTTTCCAGGTTTGAGAAGCTGACCAGGGCACACAGCTGATCAGTACGTAGTGATATTAAAGAATGAAGTAAATACCATTTTTTCTTTCTATTGATGTGAATTCTATTTTCTAAATGACTACTAAGTTATTAGAACATAAATATTTAAGTTATTTGGGCCTGAAGTAATTCATAAATAGAACTTGAATATTTCTTTTGGCCTAGGAGCACCATGAAAAATTACTGAAGTGTGCCAGGAACTGAGAGGCACTCAGAGTAAGCTCTCCATGAACATCAGCTATTAATGTTACAGACCTACAATGATCCTCTCACTGTTCCCCATGGCCCGCCCCCTTGCCTGGACAACTGGCTGTAATCTTTCTGGGCCCAGCTCTACGGAAGGTGATTAAACCATAGCTTGTGACACCTGCAAATGCAGCCTCCCCAGTCTGCTGCAAACCAACATAAGCCAGTTACAAAGTTGTCTTTGGCAGATTCGGGGGCCCCTGCAGTCATGGGGGCAGTGAGGGCTACAGCTATAGTGAGAGCCACAGGTCACCTCTCCCCAGCCCCACCAGGTGGCCTGTACACTCAGGCAAGTGAAGGGCCGAAAGCTGTCTGCCTCATGCACAGACTTTCAATAACAAGCAGGCCCAGAAAAGATCACACGCTGTGACCCACAGGCTGGGTGAAGCGCCAGTTCCCTGTGCTTCCGGTTCCCCATCAGCATCTGGCATGGAAGGGAAAATTCTCCAGCAGCAGATGTGGCAACATCCTCCTGGCAGGATTCCAGCTAAACTCCAGTTGGGGGTTGGGCGACCAGGTACAGTAAGCCTCTGAATGCAGGCCAGGGGCCCTTTGGAAGAGTGTGGGTCCCTGGGAAGGTGGGGCAGAGGTGCAGAGGGGTTGGGGACGGGTCCGCAAGTTGTCACAGTTCCAAGCCATTTCTAACGTCCATCTCGATGCTGGACAAAGACTGGGGTTGAACAGGCGCGAAGGTGGCCCAAGGTTCATGGAGGATCCACTTGGGACAGAGTGTGGCTTCTGATTACGCTCTTCGATGCCCGTAGGACTCCACATGCCCCAGCGCTGCTCTTGGCACGCAGACGAGACTCACATGTTCACACATGACAGGCAATATACACACACACACACACACACCCAGGACAGGCTGTTAACTGGTCATGGCGGCAAGCCCCAGCAGGTTAACCGAGCTATCAGGTGTGAGTACCAGGCCCCTTGGCAGCTCCTGGTCTGGCCATAAGGCATGACATGGACGTTGGTGTCATCTCCCCTTGTCTTTGTCACGTCTGGATAAGGTGACCGGGTGTAGGTTCTGGATTGCTGAGTGGAGGATCAGACTTCTTGTCATGGCCTCTGCCTCTGTGATTTTGTCCATCTGCCCGAGGGAGATTGTTTAATTATGTGATTCCAAGACTCTACAGTCTAAGATTTAACTGTCTTTAACTTCTCAACAGCAAGTTCGATAGCCTGAAAAGCCTCCTTCTAAACAGAAACACCTAGAGATACTGGATAAGAAACAAACTTCTTTTTATGTACAGAGCTGAGCACTCTGAACGTAAGCGAAGTCCCCTGGGGTCCTGAAGCAGGACCTGGAACGCAGATTACATAGAAGAGGAGCTGGGGCTACAGCTGCCTGGGTGGGGCTGGGCTCTGAGAACAAGGGCTGGGGTTCTAATGGTCACAGGCTGAGGGCTGGGACCTTCCGAGACAGGGGCTTGCTATTCAGTCCATGCAAAAAGCTGGGACCACAGAAAAGCAACACTTGTAGGGAAAAAGAAAAAAGGAATTTCACACACAGGTGCAGGGAGATGTAAGGAAATTTGAGGTCTGAGTGGGGAAAACGTTTCCCACGAGAGTTTTGTGTTTTCAGGCCTGCTTTATATAAGTTTGATGTTCCCGCAAAGGGGTCATCCCATCTGGATTGTCTACAAACCCCAAAGTTGAGACATTAATATTAAAACGTAGTTATGGCTTAGTGGTATCCTTGGGGCTTCTGGCAAAAATACACAGAAAATCTTTCTAGACGGATCCCTGAAGCCCAGCCACCCAGGTAAAGCCCCTCTGAAGCTGAGCGCGCGACCCAAAGTTACAGAACACATGAGGAAACAAATCACTGAGAATAAAAGGCAATAGACCTCAAAGGGGCAGGATTAGACACCCCTCCATATGCCTCCCCCAACTTTGAAGAGTGTGGACCCCTTTGAGAAAGAAGCTGTTAAACAGGTATGTGTGGCAGCGGTTCCTAAAATGGCTTCCAGGGAGCTCTGACCCTTGACCCTTCACACTGCTGTGTCATCTCCTCCCCTTGGTGGTGGAGTGGACTTAGTGGACTTCGTCTAACAAGCAGAACATGGCCATGGTAGACAGAATGCGAAGCGGGCCTCCCAGGCTCTCGTGCCCTTCCGGTGAGTGTGGGCAGGACCACAGGATGTGGTGGATACGAACACAGGATGATTCGATTAGCTGATTCGAATCAGCTAATTGAAAGGGAGATTGCAGGTGGGCCTGAACTAATTAGGTGAGTCCTTGGAAAGAAGGCCGTGTGTCAGAGAGGCTGTCTCCTTCTGGTCTGGAGGAAGGCAAACCAGGAGCTGAGAGTGGCCCCGGTTGATGGCCAGCAGGGAAAGGGGGACCTCAAAGTGTTACAATGATAAAGAACTGAATTCTGCCGACAACCTAAGTCAGCGTGGAAGAAGATTCGCGCTTCAGATGAGAATGTAGCCCAGGCAACACCTCGACTGCAGCCTCGTGGGGCCCTGAGCAGAGGACCTAGCTACACCTGCTGACTCCTGACCCACATTAACTGCAAGATAATAAATGAGTGTTGTTTTAAGCTTCCGAGTTTGTGATCATTTGTTACACAGAAATAGAAAATTAAGACAATGACAAAAGTGATGCGATATCATTTCTGAGATCAGGTTACCAAAGAATGGGCTCTGTCTTGCTCACATTCTCCGTGGCTCATATCACACTCTCACCCCAATGAAGCCAGGGGCCGTGTCCAGAGCTGCCCTGTAGAGAGGCCCATGTGGCAGGCAACTGAGGGCGGCCTCCGTGCACAGCCTGCGAGGGCTCTCAGCCCAACAGCCCAAGAGAAAATGAACCCTGCCAGCAACCATGTGAGAGCACTTGGAAGCAGGTCTGCCACCTTCCTTGATCACAACCTTTGATCACGGAGGCACATAGATAACAAGGGACATGGCATGAAGTTGATTAACAGCATAGTGAACAGTAAAAGGATTCCCCAAGGAGAAGGGCTCTGGTTGGGTCTAGAAGGTGGGACAAGACTGAGCAGGAAGGGTGGCTTTGGGTCTTTATTGTGGTTCCAGGGTAGAGCCGAGGTGGGGTGCATGGGCAGGCTGGACCTCACCTGGTTTGAAATTTCTGTGGATGCCAAGAGTCTGACACATGCTTCCACGTGGATGAATCTGGAAAACATTATGCTAAGTGAAAGAAGCCAGACACAAAAGACTACACCGCGTATGTTCCCATCTGTATGCAATATCCTGAATGGGCAAACCCGTGAAGACGGAAAGTAGACCAGTGGTTGCCAATGGCTGGTGGGAGGGGAGAATCAGGTGTGACTGCTAATGGGTGTGAGGCTTCTTTTTGGGGTGATGAAAATGTTCAAAAATTAGACAGTGGTGATGGTTGCACAAGTCTATGAATATGTTAAAAACCACTGAGTTCTATACGTTGCAAGGATGAATTACAAGGGGCTATGCATTTTATCTCAATAAAGCTGGTATTAAAAAGAGGAAAGGAGTCTGGCATAGGGTTTAATGATAATTGAAAATTGGAAATTCTAGGATAATCATAGGACTGTAGGGTGAGGGGAAATATACCTTCAAGTGAAGTTTCTAGAAGTTTAACAGAGTAGGCAATA